CTGTATGTGGGATCCGAACCCTCGGGAGGGAGCGCCGCCGCGCTTCCCAAGCAGCGCACTATCCAGTGCGCCACCGGGCCAGCCCTCTTTTATATTCTTTGGTTAAAAAAAAAGTCTTCTTACAGGTCATGAGATTTCACTAGTACTCATCAGTATTTTATTGCTGTGGTGAATATTTTTTTCCAACTGCACTGCAATGTATTATTGCTAATTAATATAAGAACTAAAGATTTTTAAAAACACAGTCTTCTATCTATTCACCTTACTGAACTCTTATTGACAGTTGGGTCTCTTACATTCTTGGGGTTACAGTATCATATCATCAATACATAATGATAAATGTACCTTTTCCTAATATTTAAACCCATTATTTTTCTTTCATTAATGCATTGATTAATTCTCTTATGACACTGAAAAAGTAGTGGCAATGTGCCTACTATTTTCTTGTTTTATCATTGCAGTAGGTAGAATGGACCTGAAGATGTCCACACCCTAATCCCTGGAACTGTAGATATGAAATTGCAGATACATTAGAGTTATGGACTTTAAGATACTGAGGTCATCCTTAATTATCTGGGTGAGTCCAATCTAATCACATGATGCCTTACAAGCAAAGAATTTTCTCTGAAGGGAAGTCAGAGATTCTAAGCATGAGAAGGGTTCAATGCACCATTGCTGGCTCTGAGATATAGGAGCCCATGTGCAAGAAGCAGGAAAAGTAGCTTCTAGGAGCTGAAGGTAGCCCCCAGCTAACAGCCAGGAAGCAAACAGGGAGTTCAGTCCTACAGATACAAGGAGCTGGATTCTGACAACAACCTTGGAAGCAGATTCTCCTGCAGAGGCCAGGATGGCTGACACCTTGATTTTGGCTGTGTTAGAACTGGAGCAGATGAGGCAGCCAAGCCCATCCATACTTCTGACCTAAGAACTGTGAGATAATAGATTTATGTTGTTTTAAGCTACTAAAGTTGGTGATAATTTGTTATGGCAGCAATAGAAAACTAACAGAAGCATCAGGTATAATGTTTGTCATAAGTTTAAGGAAGATACCTGAGGGTAAAAAAGTATCTAGCTGGCTGGATATTTTATTTCATTTTTAATCACTAAGGGATATGGAATTTTATCAAACACCTTTTTGGCATCTGTGAAAATATTCATATAATTTTTCATCTTTACTCTGTAAATGCAGTTTATTACACATTGATAAATTTTCAAATGTTGAATCATTCTTGTACCCTAATTAGTCATGAATTTAAAATACAGCTGGATTCATTTTTATTAAAATGTATTTAGCATTTTTACAAGTTTGTTACGCCTTTATCAAAAATTAATTGACCACATTATGTGTGGGCCTCCTTGTAGACTCTTTATTTTGTTCCATTCATCTGTAAGTCTGTCCTTACACCAATATCACAACTTCTTGATTACTGTAGTTTTATGTCTTGAAACCAGTAGAGTAAGCCCTCTACACCCTTCTTTTTCAAAATTATTTTGGCTATTCCAGATTATCTGCATTTCCGTATATCCTTGAGAATCAACTTGTCAATTTCTACGAAAACCCTGCTGAGTGTTTGACCTCGATTACATTGAATATATGGATCAACTTGGAGATAACTGGTATTTTAAAAGTATTGAGACTTCTATTCCGTTGGTGTATATGTGTGTCCTTATGCCAATACTACACTGTCCTGAGCACTGTAGTTTTAAATTAAGTTTTGAAATCAGAAAGTATGAGTCCTTCAAACTTGTTCTTCTTTTTCAAGACTGTTTTGGCTACTTGGGGTCCCTTGAGATTCCATATGAGTTTTAGGATGTATTTTTCTATTTCTGCAAAAAACATTCTTGAGATTTTGATGGGGATTACATTGAATCTGCAGATCATTTTGGGTGTTACTGTCATCTTAACAATAGCTTCCATTCCATGAACATGGGATGTCTTTTCATTTACTTGTCTTTTTAATTTCTTTCATCAATGTTTTATAGTTTTCAGTGTATAGTCTTTTGCTTCCTTGGTTAAGTTTATTTTGAAGTATATTCCTTTTGGTGCTACTGTAAATGGAATTGTTTTCTTAATTATCTTTTTGGATTGTTCATTGTTAGATTGTTAGTGTGTAGAAATGCAACTTGTGTTTGTATATTGATTTTGTGTATTGATTTGCAACTTTGCTGAATTTGTTTATTATTTTAACATTTTGCTTTGTTTGCTTTTTGGTAGAATCTTTAGGGTTTTCTATATATAAGATCATGTCATCTGTGAACATGGATAATTTTACTTCTTCCTTTACAATTTAGACACTTTTTTTTTTTTTTTTTTTTTTTTTTTTTTTTTTTTTTCCGTGTCCGGCAACGGATCCCAACCCCCAGGGTTCCCCCCGCCCCCGAC